TCTTCCAATCAATGTCCAGTTACCTTCCCTTCCTTAAAAACCTTCTGCAATTGTAACATTATGCGAGCTTGTCTTCAGTTGTCACTGTGTCAGCTCTCCGTGCTTCTAGAGGAATTCCATCTGGTCCTGCTGCTTTCCCGCATTTCACCAGCTTTATGGAGCTCAGGACTTACACTTTCCTTGGAGGATTTGTGTTCACTTGTAGTTCTGTGTCTGGGCTGCAGGTGGCATTTCTGGACAAGGTGCAGGTGGTAATGCTGGTCGATTCAAGAGCTGTTTGAAAGTGGTCAGGCCATTGTTTCCTTTGTTTCTTCTCTTCGGTAATTAGATTTCCTTCATCATCTTCTATTGGTTTCATCTGATCTGTGTTGATCTCCTCCATAACAGATAGTAACCTGGTCATTTGATACAATGTTGTCAGGTCTCTCTCTCTCTGTATCTACTACCAGCAGCCTGTTCTACTCCACTTGCCAGTGTGTCGTGGAAGTATCTTTGTCTTTCCGCGCACTCTTCTTCACTTCTTTGTCCAGTGTAGTGTTTTATACATTGTACTCAGATCCTCTTCTCGTTGCGCATCCTTGCACTGGTTTATCTTCTGCTTCACCATCCTCTTCTCCCTGCTCTATCAGCTTCCATCTATCCGTCAAGATCCATTTCTTATCTTCTCTCTTCATCCTTCCTAATATGTATGTGCAGGTTTCTTTCCACATCTCTTTCAAAGACTTCCAGTGTTCTTCCACACAAGTTTCTTCAGGGATGTTCCTCGATATCTCCCACTTTGTCTTGGTGGCTGACTGACGTGAAGATTCTCTGTGCAGTTTCGTCCTTCAGTTTCGGAGTGTTGTGCTTCGAATGTGGTCTATCACCAGCATCCTTGAAGACTTTTAACTTGACTTTGAAGTCATGTCCCTTGCACAAGATAGTGTTGTGAGTCTATATCTGCTCCTCTTCTTGACCTTGTGTCTCCACTTTCTTCACATTGAGATGAAGTCGATCTGATATTCAGTGTAGTGTGTCCATCTGGTGAATGGTGAAATCCATGTCGCTGCCTTGTGGATTTCCTTGTGCTTGAACACACTGCCTCACTCCAATCACCAAATCGTTGATTGCACACAATTCTGTAAACAATTCTCCATTCTCGTTCATCACCTCACCAAGCTCTTCTCAGCACATGCTTTTTTCTCCTCCTGTGTTCTCCACTCCCAGTTTGGCATTCATGTCACCCATAAGAATTTCGATATCACCAACTGACGTCTTGTCCAGTGTTGATTGCAGTTGTCTGTAGAATTCCTCCTTCTTCTCTTCATCTGCATTATTACTTGGCACGTAGCATTCTATGATTGTGACCTTCCTTCCTTTTAAATTGAACCTTGCTGTCATGATCCTCACCCTGCATAAGGAGATTGGTTCCCACTGCATGACAAAGAGCCTTTGATGCTCTTGAGGGTAGGACATCATGATATCCACTCGACAACTCAGTGTGCTCCTGGTTGTCGTCTGGGTGACAATATCAGAGTAGATTATTGACTCTCCAGTTGACAGTTTGGAGAGTCCAACCCCATTCCATCTGCTTTCGCAAATTCCTATCACTTCAATGCGATACCTTCTCTTCTCGTTTGCAGTCTGGGCTGCCTTACTGGGTTCAAATATGGTGCGGACACTCCATGTCCCTATGTTTACTTTCGCTTTCATCGAGAGGGAGGAGACACATAGGCCAATTGGCTTCCCGAAGGCTTTCACCAACCAACGTCATTTCGCCTCTCCGATTCCAGAGAGGAATAATTTGGTTTTTATTTTTTATACTTTGATTGTGCTTTGAAGTTTGTTTAGCGGTTGGATTGGTTTTCCGGGGTAGGGTTGCTAGCCCTACGCCCAACATTGACAGCGGATTTCTCCTACACACCTTGTGATTACGCAATCTCCGTCTAACTTTAAGGGCGACTCACTATTCCTTCATACAACATTCCATTTTGATGACCAATGCTGACCTATGAGCCAACAGTAAACTTGCTTGATTTTATGACTATAATTACGACTGTACAGAAGTTGAAAATAATCCATCACAAAGGAAATTTCATTACAACCATTTACTTTGTGCCAATTCGAATATCTAAAAAGCTTGTTCCTTCCTTTTTCAATTTTCCTTATAACCAGACTCAGTTGAACTTGAATCTGTTAATTTTTCATGCAGAGATATATTATTGGGGTCTTGAGTGAACAACTCATAGTAAAACACATGGCAGTCAGACAGAAACGATTCACTTACACAGAATTCAAACTACTTGGAAGCACTAAGTGGATATATGTTTTCTCTCAGTCTCTTAAACTACACAGTGATACCAACAAATGAAAACCATATTTCACATTAGTAAAAGGGTTTGTATATGATACGGTTGTTGACTGGACCGAATTGAACGGTCTCTATTAGTATATGGGCTCCTGTGCGGATGCCTTGATATTGCCAGCAATCTAATTATGTTGATGATGGATCGTAGCTAGCTGTGGCTATCGTGGCTCGGTGGTGTAGTGAGTAACGCGCTGGCGTTTGAAGCAGTCGCTCCTGAGTCCGAATCCAGAGGGGATCAATTTCACTCACTGAGAAGCAGGAACACCCAGCTGAAGAGTCCCAAATAGGACGGAATGCGCATCCTGGATTCCATTGCTAGCCACGACCCATCATTAACATATTTCATATTGATAAAAAAAGAGACCTTTCGTTATCGTTCTTTTACGCTAGAACAAGTGCAAACATAAGTAAAAGATAATGATTTCAACATTCTTTTCATATATACACGATCTATTCAAACATAATGAATTCAGTACCAGATGAGTAAAGGATGTGGATCAGCCTGTTTAGATGACAATCCCTTGATGAGACGGTATTTAAGATGCAGTGGAAATTACCATTTTAAACAATCGTTTATTCATTATCGTCTATCTGCCACCCATTTCACAAATATCAGCTGTTATTTTAGATACGTAATTAAATAAAGCATTTACTTTCTCATCATTATCAACATTTTTATCATTGTACAATTGAATAAGTGTGATGAACACAGGAAGAATAATAGAATAATCAGACTGATTTATTCGCAAAGCAACTGATTGATTATCTCTTCTTTACTGGCTAGTGAATGTAAAAATCGATTTGTTATTACAAATAACTTTTATAATGCACTCAAATATCCTATGGATATTGTTTGACAAGAGGAAGAATGCAATAGGAAGACATAAAAAAAAGGTAATTATGGCGTTGCCTGAAGTGATTTTTGATTGATACAAGAGAAGAGGGTTTAATTTAGCAAGAAGGAAAAAAAACATTTCACTCCATTAATTGTGTATGAAGAGATTTGAGATGTTTCATTTTCTAATAAATTACTGATGTTGTGGCTTATTTTTGATATCCCTACTTAGTGTTTATGAAAAAGAAACAGTAGGCTTCCTGGTCAGATCGAAAGCTTCAGTTTCTTGAACTTTTGAAGAGGCTGATAAACAATATAATAACGCTTCAATCCCATGAAAAGAATCTCAGCAGATAAGGGGAACAAACTTCAAGCAAACTTCAAGCCAAGTAGTATTTAAACACGTAACTAGTAATACTGGCAAATACTTGCTATCAAGTGGTATGATATGCCATTTAAGAAGAAATTGTACCACTTCCAACACTCTTGGATAAATATTATGGTTAGAATTTCGGGTAGATCCAGTAGTATTTTCGAAGAAGAGCTATCTGGCAACATCCATCACCAGAAAGTAACAAACTCCAAACTGCTTAGTTTAAGCAGGACATTACACTGCTCTTAGGAATTCGTAAATCTGCTATTGAACAAAGGCATCACTGGTATCTTATCAAAGTAATTGTATGGAACATATTTTATTTCGTTATTGAATAACCTCCGCAGTGGCTTGAAATATGTCATGAGCATGAGATAAGCGTTGGAATGCTGATGATATCTAACTTTTGGTTATTTGACTTGCATTGACCAAGTCAGCTTTTCGTTTCATGTGTTTCATCATCCTCAGTTGTAATTACGCACACTGTAGGGTATCCTTACACCTAATAGGCAGCAAGAGATTTTATTTGACTGCGTGTGCAAAGATTTATGTTGTGAAAATTAAGCAAAAGATGGCGTTGTGTAATTCGGAAATGCCTAATTTTATGGTATTTCATTTTTTAGAATGACCATAAGCAACGTGTAAACAACTGAACAGATGTACTGAAATACAACTAATACTCTTAGATGTTTTCTGCTTAAGTTCACAAAGCAGACCAAATATATGAAACTAGATGTTTGATTATGATGGCTGAAAGAAGGTAAACTTTAAATGACCGTTTATTTTTTGGAGTTGGTTGATGATTGCAGTGTAGTACTACGTCTGTTAATATAGTGTACATAGCTTTAAGAGTGCTTACATTTCTCTTCGACAGTTTGGTATGCACTTCGGATATCAGACATTTTATGTTAAATATTTTGTTCACGCCTCTTTAAACATATGCATAAGTAAACATGATGTTTCACTGATAGTGCTAATGACGCCAAGAAACCCATTTTGAATTTATTCGGTACACATATTACTGCTTAGTTTATAAAGTTGACTATTTCTAATATGGCCTAAAAAACCTTATTTTATGTGTCTAACGGTGGCTTAAAAATCAAATAACCGACTGCAAATAGTTGATCTTGTAAGTTAATTAGTCACGAAATTAAAATACTTTTACATTGAAATGTTGGTATCATGTTTTTGCTGATTGTTTTCTCAATGCTTAGAAATAAACACCTGGGAATCTTGGTGAAAACTCAGCAGCGTAACAAAATCTTGAAGACTGATCGGCAATACAGAAAAAAGAAATGTTTTACAGAAAACAAGAAACGATGAATTTTGCTCAGTCGTTAATGGACTAAAACCGGAAGTCTGTCTACAGCTCGGAATATGCATTTCGAAAGGAAAAAGTGATTCAACACTGACAAGGAAGACAGGAGCACTACGTAATAATTGATATGATCTACGATCGTAAGATGAAGTTTCGTGGAAATAGTTTTACAATAAACTCTTCTAACAGTATAAGAAATGTGGTCCAACCGGCAGTAACATGCTCTTCAGTAGTGACTAACAAAAATAATGAACTTGAATCATACTTAAACATGAGTAAGTGATAATCTTGATGTGAATTATATAAATTTTCAGTGTGAAAGTACATCAGTATCACCTAACATCACAAGCTATTTCCAAAAGATTTTAAAGATCCAGTAGTAGTTGCAATTCTTATTCGATTACTATCATACTGATATTTTTGTCATGAAAGAAGACCTGAAGCAATCAAAATGTTTGCTGTTAAAAAATACGGATTTTGATAATGTACCTTATATACAGTATAAATAGGTTGCCTAACCAAACAGTCATATATTGTTCAAGGATGTAATATTCTGGTAGCATATATTGTTAGACCGAAATGTTTTGGAATCTAGTATTGCCAGTCTGTTTTCAAATTAAAATAACAGAAATAACGGTCACTTTATTCTAGATAATGTGGTTAATACAGTATATAATTCTCGGTATATGATAGTTCAGACCTATCACTTCTCGCAAAATAGTTTTTACACGAAATAGTCATAACGTCTTAGTAATGGTAATTTTAGCAGTGCTATAGGGCAATAGCATCTATAGTCAATTTACTATCTGGTTTCAAGATGGGGACTAGTGGAAAAGCTTGTATATAGCTGGTGGTGGTTCTTTCAGCCAGTGCGGAAATCTACAAGTTTATAAACTTATTGCCTTTATCATGACATCTATCCTTCATTTTCTTGTGAACTTGAAACAGTGGCCGGTTGAAAATAATTTTCGGAATGTGCAAGGATTCATAGTACGATTTGAAGATATTTAATCGATTCAAGAAGTTGAAAAACAACAATTTATTCGGTTGTCTAAGTTTTGATCAAGCCATCAGTGATAGTGAGGGATAATCAAATCACTCCAAATATGCTTTCTTTACAGCTTGTGGTGAAATTGCTTCTCACTTTAAGAGCAAATTTCTTCAGATCTTACCTTCTTATCTCTTATCAAATTTGAGCAAACAATGACATTTATGACATCAAAGCATGATAACACCACGTATTAGATTTATGTTTCAGTAAATCTTAGCCTAACTTCGATCGTATGCCAACTTCTAAGACTTTATTAATCTTCAAAAATAAGGATAGGGATTTGTATACTCAATCTAATTCTATTAAGTTAGGCCATGTTTTGTTGATCAAAGTATACTTAAAGTTTGATCATGAAGGCATGTATTAAATCTATGACTAGAAGTGTTGGCTAAACGGTCTTAACTATTAGTTACACCTCGTTGTCATTCATATACTCAAAAAGGGTCGAAAGAAACTTGTTTTGCCACCAGAAATGCTTTTAGAAAGGGTATTCACTTTTTAAGCGTTGGAATTTCAGGAAGATTACATTATTTATACTTAACTGAAGAGTTTTTCAAAAAACTCTTAAAATCAAAAAGAGATTATTATTTATCTCTGTTGATAGAGTAAACAGTCACTGACTTGGTTGAAAATATGAAAAAAAACCCAGAAAACTTTTAAAAACGAACAACACATCTTTGAAGGCCTAGAATACAAACCTCATCCAGTTTTATTGAGAAACAAACAAACTAAGCAAAACAACTTGGTAGGTGAGTAAGAAAGTAAGCGGAATAAAATTCACCAGTTATTCGTAGGAGGATCAATAAGTCTAATATGCATATAAATATAGAAGTACAATAACATCCGGGATGTGATACAGGGAGTGTAAACAAAAATCTGAGATTGATAGGTGGACTAAAAACAGTCAAAAATGAACTAGATTTTGAAATTTTATTGACTCATTACATAGCTGCTGTTTCAAGTGCCGAAACTACTTCATGATTCATCAGACTATAAATATTTAATGCACAAACAGCCTATATAGCATAGCTAGGTAATTGTAACGACTTCTTTAAGTTAGTAAAAATCAAAATAGTAAACAGCTATGCTTAATTTCAACTTTCTCCTTCATAATACATCATCACAGTAGTCGATCGCTAGCTAAATTCTGTGGTTGGTTATTTTTGAACCAAAAATCCAGATTTTTATGTCACGCAGAATCACAAAATGAGGTGCATTTCTGGTGCTGCTGATTAAAACTCTGCGGAAAGCTCCTTGCTGGCCACTAGATTCAAATCTGGGGATATGTAAATTATTCGGTAAAGCAGAAAGATACAGAGGCTTGCCTACGCATCCTGACTCAGTGATAACAACCTAACAACTATTCTGAGAATGAGATTATCTGAAGTAGTTGCATTTTGACCAAATAATATTGTTAATACTGAATTATGTGTGAAGATGAAGTGAGAAAGAGTTTGAAACAGGATTCAAAACAGCCATTTCTGAGTTATCCCTCTGGCCCCTTACAAACCAAACGACAAAACTCATCCTATAACCTAGTTCTAAATCCACTTCAATCATGAAGAATTTTACTCAGATCCCATATGGACCCATCACAAGCTAATTTTCGTCCATTATAATCGAATTATCTGTTCAGCCGAGTCTTCCCATCACAAATTAAAACCATCTGAATTCATATGAGCGGAATGTGTTCGAATCTTGTCAATACCCACCTTTTCATTTTACCTTCAACTAATACACGCTATCAAAAATTGTGTTAACAAACAGAATTGTGAATAATCTCATCTAACCACAGTTAGGTCAGAGGCTGCTCACATGTATTGCTTGAATTAGCAGATTTTGCAGTACCAGCGTAGCAATGAAATAATCATTGGCTTTTAAAGAATTCCAAGTCCTCCTTCTTAATTTCTATCAAATAAAATTGAAGCTAATGGAAAACTCTAGTCAGGGTACCAACTAACTTTCCAGTAGGATTGTCAGAAATTTCAGTTATAAGTATTAAAATGATGGGAATAATTTTGTATTATCTAAGGAAAATTTTGACTGTAGTAACTGCAGAACGAGAAATATCACACGCAGTTTCATGCATGAAAGTCAACCCAAAAATATATAAATTCAAAAGGCTTTTTATTGTCTTCGGCAGCAATACGATATCATATAGGTTGTATTAAAGTTCTTACTAAAATATCCTCGCTAGAATAATTTTAAAAGCCAGCTGTTAGGTATTACCTACAGGAAAAAATTAAGTGTAGGGCGAAATGTAGCGACTAGATGTTTAAACTATGTATTTACTAATGCTATTAGTTGTACAAGATACGGGTAATCTGTTCAGCAGGAGGCTGTTTAATGCTGGCTAAAATCTTCAAAAATCTTTCTAATTCTGCTATTCATGGATGAGATTAATTTCCTCTTTGTGCAACATAACATTTAATTGACTCAATCTTAAAAAAATTATTATCCCCAACATTCAGTTGATAAAGTTACTTAAACATTTATAGTTGATACCTTGTAAGTACCATCATTACCATCAATCAAGATGTAAGCGGCTCCTACTGGGAAAAGTAAATAGATACTTTCAGGGATGTGACTGTTAATTTTCTGAAAAATATTATTTGAAACGCAAAATACCTGACTTTTCCTGATTCTTCTCAGCTGAAAGATTATGAACTACTACTATAATGAATCACTATAAATACATATGTTTACGTGAAAAAGTTATATTCTGTAAACGTACTCTTAAGTGTCTGTGGCAGTTTTTTGATCTTTTCTTTCATCAGTGGATGATGTATAACTTTTATAAGGAATGTAACAGTCATCTTTTATGTAATCTGAGATTCAAATATGACTTACATCTGTCGTAAGTGTCATGTTCACGATTAAGTATAGCCATCAACTTAATACAGAAAAGTCATGCACGCGATTTAGAATAAGCATATCACATTTATATGCTGCAACTGCTCATAAGGTTTCCCACAGTTCCGTATCTGAAATCAGACTTGCAAAAAATGATGAAATTTGTTTACATGTCTTACATACTACTGAAACAATGTAAGTGGGTAAATTTGTATTTGTTTCATTTCTTTCGGTGACAGGTCCTTATAACGTTCCATTGGGGGACAATATACCAAATGTACAGAATCATACAACTTATACAATTCGTACGTTAGCGGATATGTTCACATGTAAATTGTCAAATTTTCCTATGACAGTAGGAATTTTCACTCAACAAAGCAATAAGGAATATCTTTCACAACTGGCAAGTAAGTTACGTAATCTTGACAAAATAAAATGCCATTTGAAATTTATCAAAACAGAGCCCTAAATGTTTGTAAAAAACTAAAAGACAATGAAATGGTGATAGAAAGGGTTGTGTATACTGTATTCAGTATATGCCTTTTGAAAATATGCGATACCGTTATAGAATTTCGCTTACTTCAAGAAGCAGGTATATGGTTAATTGGTCATCTACAAAAAAATATCAAGCATCTGATGTGAAACTTTCAATTTTAAGATTTTGGCTCACATAAGTAGCCTTAGAACGACGAACTCAACGGTGATGTACTTACTACAAAAGTTGAAAATATATAAAGAATGAACTCTAAAGTTGCAGACGATCAATTAGTTTGAATTTACGTTTGAAGACATTAGTAAGCATAAGATTGATATGCATAGTCTAAGAACGAGGAAAACTCTTAGCATAATCCAATACATTTGAATCTGTCTACTGAGTTTTAAAAGAACTAACAATTCAGTCAACGAACTCTCCTTTGATGATATCATTCTAAGCAATTTTAAAATTGAATTGAAGTTTACTTCATGTGTAGGTAAAATGATATAAATGTCAGTATTAGTCACTCACTTATACCCAATAGGTCACAGTGATGAAAACTACATAGAAATGGGAGTCGCGTGAGAAACATGAAAATATCTGACAAGGTGAAATAGCAAGTATGAGTTGAAAGCTAAAATTGATGATTGCTTCATAATACGAGAAAATAGTTTTCAATGTAGAACAGGCTGAGGAAAAAGTGACTCTGCCTAGAAAACTGGTTTCAATTTTATAATTCAGTGACTTCAACATTACGAATCGCAAGTTTCCCAATGGATTTTTGAAGCTGCACTAACCGTTTGCAACTGAATTTTAAGATAAGCTAAGATACATCTGGCATTGGACTTCACGGCAAGTCAGATTTATCATTAAATTTATGCACTTGCCTAAGTCTTTCCTCTACACAAAAGATTTATATACGAGTAAGGACGTACTCAAAATAAAATCCAAAAATCCTTGAAAATGCAAAGCTAAGAGATCACAGGTAACTCCCCTGAATTTCGCTGGTAATACTGCAACCACTCACTAAGCTTTTGTCAGTCAGCAATTAATTCACCCATAATACTCATTGCTACAAAGCATTGCAAAAAAGGCTTTGCTGGGTAAAATTTGATTTAAATTACAGATTAGAATACCATAAGAAAGGCTTATATATTCGGGAGAGGGAAACGGAACCATGTTTCTGAACTGAATACAATTCAAGTGACAGTCACACTTATAATCCTCTCTTGGTACATTTCTGTACAGGAGTTTCAATATATTTATCTTCATATAACTTGTTGATTGATAACTAATTATAAATTGCTTTTTCATGCTACTGGAGATAATTTGAATCCGGTAAGTTTACAGACTTGAAACCCACTAACTTAATTACTCATGTGTGTAATTTCGACTTGAAATTAATGCTCGTTAGTTAAAATCTTCTATGGAAGTTATTCTAAACCAAACTGTTTCGGAAACACTCTTTTACAAAGATAATGTGGGATATTTCAGCAAACATTATGTTTCTTTATTAACGCTTGTAGTTCCCTGTTGACAATGTTTCTAAACCTAATTGATCGGTGACTCGGCGTGTGGACTTTGTAAACAGATGCTTCAATATTGTCTCAGGTTTCATTCTGATATTATTTGCTGGGGTGTGTTAGCCAATGTTTAGCAAAAACCATAAAAACGGTGTTTAATATTAATGGAAAATTTTCAGCCAGAAGATATTCACTTCAAATTTAAGTCAAGAATGAGAGAGGTTACTTCAGGCTGTAGTGTATTATTAAGATATTGCGATCAGTGATTGAAAACTGAAGATAACGTGTTTGATATTTATCTTGCATAAGCTTTCAGTTATCAATAAACTTGACAGCACTTCCTTAGTTTTTTTAAGACTTCTTTCTTTATTTTTCATCGACCCACTGTACGTATAAAGTCACCTTTCCTGAGTCACCTCTTTTCATTTTACTGTTGTGTGATATAGATTGAAGATATACAGGTGAATAAGGGTCTCCATCTATTGTGTTTACCAGTAGCAGTGAGGTGCTTAAAAACCAGCCTTTTCTACTGACGCATATTTAGTAAATTTTAGGGAATGCTAACACTGAGTAACATCTAAAAGGTTTACCAATTAACTTAATAAAATTTTTCTGTCAGAGGCTTATTATTCCTTTCCTAATATAAAGTCAACACTAACAATGATAATTATGCCTATGGAAGGATTAAAATTTAATGTATTTGGTATTTTCAGCGATTCATCTCATGAAAATAGGTTTTAACCTTCAAAATTTCGAGGCCGCACGAGTAATTCAAACTGATTTTCAAGGCGAATGAAAAAGTGTATCCAGCTTCTCAGTCTCAAATACGACAAAATAGATGACTAGGATCCCATCATTAGCCACTAACTGTCCTTATTTTCAGACGGTAAAATAAATCCAAAAACTGAATGGATCGTGTTTCACTGGGACAAGAATTGTTATCATTAGGGTGATTTGATTGATACTGTCCTTCCTTAACTAAACGGTTGCAGATGAGAACCAATGGTGATTTTTATCCACATGGATGTTTTTTAGAAATTGTTTTAAGATGGAACATTTATTTTGCTTTCCAACTCAAGGAGTCTACGGAAACCAACTTAAACCTAGTACTAAGATGAAACTATAAACTTCTGAACCGCTGCGCCTTCACTGTTGTTTTGTGGAGCTGAGTCTATGGACACGGAGTGATATCTGGTAAATAACTCAAGATAATAAAGTAATAAAGTATATTAATACTAGACACAGGGTAGAATGGAGGTGTGTTGGCGGTTTGGTATTCTCTAGGCCATGTGTTCTATTGTGGACGGTTCATCATCTGGTCTAGTGAAATTGTCAGCACTAAATTCATCCTCACAATAAATCACAAATCTTTTCAATTATTCCGAAAGTAACTTGTCTATAACCAGTAAAATCAATAACGTTCCTTGTAAATTTGGCAAAGCAGGATTCTGCTTAGATTTCCGCTATTCAGTAACCAATTCAAAACTAGTGATTTTTTAACTTTATCTTATTAACATGAAGTAATGTGCGTATACATGTTTAGCCGATGAAAAATAACCATATTATCTACTTTGCTATATTTTGTACACTTTTCCTATCGCAGATGAACTACACAATCTGGATCGACTTGAAAACCCAATGCCACTGAAATTTAGCAAATTACTTTTTCTATTCCCCTTAGTAATCAGTGCCATATTAGGCTACTTTGTTGGAATGCTTACCAACTGGCAGGTTGGTTTATCAATTGGACATATTGGAATGTTTATACAAATTACATTTCTGGGTGAGTTTTTGATACCTTAATTGCTGACACACAACATTCTTCTAATGAAACTTTTTCACTATATTCAGTTAACGCCTTTTTCAGTTACACTGCAAATTTAGACAAGCCGCTTGGTATGTAATTTGTGCGTAAAACTATGAAAGCTGAAGGTTATTGAAAAGCTAATTTAAGGTACTACAAATGCATTTAGATTATAATTTTAGTAGACATCAGTAAACGTTTTAGCCTGCACTAAATTTCCTTGCAATAAATAACTTATACCTTTGGGTGACTTGTGGATCTTTTATTATAAGATTGTTTGCTGATGGTTTAAAGTTGGTTTGTATATTCAGTGTCTTTTTATAATATCTTATTGATTATCTCAGACAAGTGCATTCCCATACGACAAGCCATTCAGTTTCAGAATTTACAGAAATTGTCAACTGATTGTTTTAACTTGTCATAACCCCCCAATAAGGCTTCTTGTTTATTGTTATTTATTAGCAAAATAAAAATTGTACCAACTACTCTTTTCAAGACTAGGATGCAACGCAAAAGCTATATGTGAAGCAAAGATTTGTCTACTTCATTCGAACAAGCCTTTTTTAAATGCAAAAGAAAATTAGGAGATATTCATTTTACCATTGACAGACCGTTAAAACGATTTAGGAAGTAAATTTTAGTGTCCCGGTGTGCATAACTGAACAGGAAACGCGTTTACACGATGAGTAAGATACCAGTTTTGTTTTGACAAGAATGGTTTTTTTTCATTTCTTTAGAAAAATTTAATTTTCACACCATGGAGAGATTTTATTGTCTCTATTCCGTGTCATACAGCAGAATTAGGCAAACCGGAAACATTTTTTTGCAGGTCGTAATCTCATTCACTATGCATGCTGAAAACACTAAATTGTTTACTGAACACTTCAGTCATTCCGAAGGATAAACACCATTCCGTTGAATCTAAAAATACTTCCTAATACAATGTCAACAATTTTGAGCCGTAGGTATAAGAAATAAGAATGTTAATAGTCAACTGTTACTGAAGAAAAACGAAGAAGAATGTTACGAAAGATTTAGCTAATTAACTGATAGCTGGATTTTGAGAGGAAAGTCGAAAGGTGGAAAAGAAGGTCAAACTTTATCAAAGGATAATAAAGTCATTTCAAAATGAAGTGGCGAAATAAATACAACAGCATGACAGTGTCTGTTATTCAAGCGTTTTTCGCATTAAATCTCCAACTCTTACAAAGGCCTGAGGAGCAGTAGTCTGAAACATTCATTTTGCAGAGGATTTTCAGCTGAAAATTTCTAGTCCAGGAGTTTTCCATACTGTGCTTGCATGCAAGCATATGTGTGATAGTTCAACTGAATTAATCAGTGTTTATCTCACTTGTTCAAAGTGCAAGAAAAGAGAATGGACAAGACGATAATGCATCGCATCTATCTTTTGCTAGCATAGTTTATTGTGCTATTAAGTTTTAGTTTACAAAAACAATAAAATCATTCCATTTATCGAATATTTCCAGGTATTTTACATCGCAGGTTCACATAAGCTGGTTAGTTATCGAAAATCCTTCAGTACTGGGTAATATTAGATGGTAATCAATCTATTTAATATTTAGAGTCAATAACTTGTACAGGTTAGGTTTTATTCTCTGAAGAAGCGACTTCCACGAAGTCACGAAACGTCAGAACTTATTTTCTTACTTCAGTGGAATTTACAAAAATTAAATTTTATTTACAGTGAATTTACCCAATGTTTAACTTATTCAACTCTATCAGATCAACTTTCGACCCTGAAGTTTATAAAATCACTACGTAAAATACTTCAATGAATAAACGATTAACGAAGAGAAAACATATTTTTGTGTATGTGTTATATATATATATATATTTATATATATATATACGACGATCCTTTAACACAAGTCAGACAACGATAATCGGCATCCGCATCGGTGAGACAAGGAAAGGTTAGTGATTTTGCTAACTTTCTTTGCATAAAAGCTTCTGGCATCATTATTTTAATGGTGACGGTTAAGTGTACCGAAAATCACTGAAGTGACCGAAATTTTATTCGTTACATAGCCGATGATGATCAGATAAGCTTGTACGCTCGTAACAGTCTTTCATTTGCTTCTCACCAGTCGGTCTTGTAGATAGTGGTTAGTAAAGTCTCACCAGTAGATTTGACTGCGTTTATTCACGAAATACTCTTTTTTTTAATTGGAATAAAGAGCTTAAAAGTGTTAATTTTGTTGCCAAAAGCTGTAACTTTGAGTTATCCAAAATCTTGTACAGTCCTTCACTTCTACTTTCGAAGAGAAGTGGGATCACTATTTTGGTTCAGGATGCGTCACTATCCCCTTTTTGGATAAACATTTTATTCTTTTTGCAGCTTTTAAATGATATTTACAATGTGGTTAATAGAATGTAAGAAAATCAGATTCTTTTTTGACTCCTTTTCGAACTCATTCCTGATAACCTTGGTTAGCCTCATGAATATGCTCACAGGAAGTGGAAAATTGGCGTTGGATGGATGTGTTGAGTTGAACTGGCTTTACCAAAGTAAATATTGTTACTTATGACTAATCGATCAACTTAAGATTTCCCGGAAATTCCTGTAAACTGTACCAAATCTAAAGAATCCTAAGAAAATTCCGAATCACACCTTTTCGAAAAGAAGACGAACACTATTTGAAAAAGTTTAGTTCGAGTACAAGATAGAATATTTTGTAATTCTAGAGGTGAAATATATATGTGTTAGATTATGTTGACTGTGATATGCGTTATACCAGGTAATCAACTGGCGACACTATCATTTACACTGAAGAGCACACTGTCTTGAGGAAACATCCTCCAAAGAACCCTGTAGATCAACAATAGTGGTCGTTTCTCTTCGACATTTAGAACAAAGATTAATAGAAAAAAAAACACATTTTCATAAATTAAAAAGAAGAGGTTAGATTCCTTATGCTAAGTTCCAATCCAGTTGAGTAGAAAGGACTTAGGTGCTCAACTAACTTGCAAAATATATACGGAAAAATATGCCTTTCATGTCATCAAATTTCCAGCATGTCTACAATATTTGTGCACACACAAACACAAAGTAGTTTTTTTTCATGCACGTTTTCTCTGGCTCATTGACAGACAATGAAGTATGCAAACTCATGATTGGCAACCGTTTACGCCGTCGCTTTGGTTTCACCGAATAATATTTAATTGTAATGGCGATTTATTCCGTTTTATTTTTTGTACATGTCCGACAGTTAAATCTAATCTGTTAGATTTACCATCGATTTTCTGAATAGCTGATTTCCACAGGACCGTTAAACACAAGAAACATACGTTTTTACTTCAATCCGATTACATAAGTGTACTTTTTACCCTCGGTGACTATTTCTACCAACACATAGCTCTACATCTTTGTTTCTACGAATGTCTCGCTTGATAACTGTATGAGAATTCTGATGTTTCTTCTGTAACCATCAAAACATCTTTGCTCTGTTAGCAGGAGTAATGTTATAAGAATTTGTTTTGCTGTCAAATGGCACCAGATGCATCTATCAAACGATGAGTATGAACAGAATTCCGCTGGTTAAGTTCACCCCGTGATGACAAAGATGGATGGACAGGCATGTTATTCAAAACATTGCGGTGATGTGAAAAAGTTCGGTATCTCTATTTAAAAATGGTTATTACATCCTGTTTTTATCATTTTAACTATCCGAAATAGCCGTAGTTTGGCAGATTAGTATTTATACTAAGTGATGGTTGAAGGTGAAATAAAAATTTGGACCGTGGCAGGATTCGAACCAGCGATCACCGGGTTTTTGTTCGTAGCTCTGCCAACTGAGCTACGAGCTCTGACTTCTGACTAGATTTTCGTTTCACTTCAATCACTAAAGGTTTGGCCTAACTACCACGTGAATTCCTTATGCGTTAATACCGCTTGATCGTATTCACACTGGCTGCTTAGTTAGGATTTCTCATTCCAATCCAAATCAAGCTGAATTAGCCAGAGGAAGCATCTTACTGATTGCCATTTTGACTATCTATCCGTTGTTTGACAGTAACGCGTCACAAATTCATATGGTAGTCAAGCAAAACCCTTAGTGATTGAAGTGAAATAAATTATGGTAGGCAGTTGAACCTCGTAGCTCAGTTGGTAGAGCATCGGGTCAGGAAACATGGTGGCCACTGGTTACAATCCGACCGCGGTCCATATTTTCGTTTTACCTTCAGTCATCACCGTTATAAATCCTGTTTCTACTTTTAATTGGTTACGGTGATATTAACATATACCATTATAAAGTGTTTATTCAGACTAAGTTTAAAACTTGCTGACATTAGTTATTATTGAGTTCAGAATGTGCAGTATTTCCCACATAAAACTGTTGCACGAAAGACCCAAAATACCGAATGAAGACAGTTCATATTAATGTGGAAACCATAGGAACAGGAGTCTTATTTATAAATAATATTGCTAGTTACGGTTCTTGTCCAACTTTCAAGAAGAACAATGAGAAATGAGTTTGTTAACGGGTTTCTGTCAAGCTTTCTAATTTTCGGTGCGTTTGCAACTCCCTAGTCCATGAAGTTAAGTTTGAAACCGCATCACTTAGTCAAAAATTGCCCTACTTGCTGAGGTTTGTGCAACTAGATAATACCATTTCCCTCATACAAGAGCTATAGTTTTTCGAAACTGGCAAGAATCTTCATACGATGTCTTAGTACCAAGACTCAACCTATATTTTTACCAGTTTTTATCTCGACAACTGAATGCTTTCATTTTAGAAAATGTGATTTTTGACTTGAAATAACCTTGAGGAAGCATCAAGAAGACTCACTTTTTGCGAAGTTTCAAGTTTTCAATAAAATAACACCTCTCGATTACCGGTATCTAGTTTGATTAGAAGTATGCAAGTCTGAAACGAAGAGTGCTCTTCGAATGAAACTGACGATATTCAGTAAAGAAAATAGTTTAAGGAATACATTTTGCTGTACCAAATAACACC